TCTACTGGCTCAAGAAAGGCTGGCAAATGAGGGGTGGCATCCTGGCTACTACTTAGGCAAGGTAGCCTGTTTTGACTTGTTCCCATTCCTGTTTGGCTGGCCCAAGCAGAGGAGGAAGGGCAGAGAGAGTTGGTTCAGGGGGGCAGGGTTCCTTTTAGCCGCCTCCCTGTGATACAGTTAGGGTCCACAGCAGTACAGATAGACATGGCTCGTGGGAAGGTGCCATAGGGTCACCTTTCCTTGACCTAGCTCACCGGTTCCTTCTGCAAGACTCTGAAGGGCTCTGTGGGGAAGGGGCAGCCCAGGACTGATGAGGTCTCCAATCAGACACAGACCACCTAGCAGGTGCTCACTGGAAGGGTCTGGCTGGAATCTGCATTTTCTGTCCTCAGCTGGCTGACAGTCGGGGGTTCTGTCACCATAGTTTGTCATCATAGTTATTCTAAATTCAGAAGGCACAGAGCTTCCTCCCCTAAATGCCAAGCGTCCTGTCAAGCTGGAACTGGCTCTCTGATTCATGACCCTCTTGTCAGGTTCTAGAAAACCACGGTTAAGCATATGGAGTCAGCCAGATTTGGGATTGAGTCCCAAATCAAATCCCTGTGTGACTTTGAGCAAATAATCAGACCCGTCTGAGCCTCTGGCTGACCTGAGGGATGAAGGTACGTACCTCAGGGCACAGGACAAGGAGGCCTTGATACACAGCAACTTGGTTGTGTGGGAAATGAAAGTGCACAGAATGGAACACGGGGTCCTGTGTGTGCCAAGCAAGCACTCCGCCATTGGCTCATAACACCCCCAGTGTGAGAACTGATTTTTGAGACAGGATCTCCTGTAGCCCAGGCTAGCCTGGAACTCAGTATGTAGCTGAGTATGGGCATGAATTCTTGATCCTTCTGAGTGCTGGTATTACAGACATATGCTAACAGACCTGGCTTGAAATTGTTATTTTTCTCTTTTTTTCTATAGTTATTATTATTATTTTATGTTCACTTGTATTTTGCCTGCACATATTCCTATGTGAGGATGTCAGAAGCCCTGGAACTGGAGTTACAGACAGTTGTGAGCTGCCATGTGCATGCTGGGAATTGAATCCAGGTCCTCTGGAAGAGCAGCCAGTGCTTTTAACCACCGAACCATCTCTTCATTCCTGAGAACTGTTATTTTTGAAGGAAGGAGAGCATGAAGTTAGGTAGGACTCAGCAGGACATCCCCTCCCTGAGAAGCTGCCTGGGGCATAGGCCCCGTGTGCCAGTCATTGCTCCGTGGGCTTCAAGAGCTTCAGCTCCTCTGATCCAATCAGCGCAGTAAACTATCCTTGTTATTAAGAAGCTCAGTCTCCCTACTTTACAGATGGAGTAACGGAGGCTCACGGAACGGCAGCTGCTTCCAGACAAATGCAAGATTCAAACCCAAGCAGCCCGTGCAGACCTGGCCCTGTGATCCTGGCTTCCTGTGTTTCACATCATTCTTACAGTACCCTGATCATCTTTGCCTCGTTCTGGGGGGACCCCTACTCCACCCCCACAGAACGCTGCATTCTCAACAGACCCAAAAGTGGCTCGAAAAAGCTGGATTGTGTGGGCCAGCGGCGTGGGCGAGGCCCACTGCGCGTCAGGCATGCTCCAAATTGGAGGAAAGGTTTGTGGTGTTTGTGAGACCGCCACCAGTGGATTCTTTTGCAAGCAGGAAAATCGCTGACCCCAGAGCTCTCGCAATGTGTGTTGATGTCAGGTCCCCATGGGTTTGTCTAAACAGGCTGTGAGCAGGGATTGCTTCCGTACTTTACCCACGCAAGCCCTGCAGCTCACTCCCAGGCATTGGACCCAGGGTGCACCAGGATAACTATTGCTCAGATCCCACCCCGGGGTGTGCGATATAGGCGCTCTGATAGGGCAAATTCCTAGGCATCCATGCAGACGAGGGGCGGCAGCCTGCAGAATACATATTGAGTGTGCCTTCCTTCCTTCCTCCACTCCCCCGCTCCCCTTCCTTCTTTTGTGGTGCTAGGAATGAACCAATGCTAGACAAATGCTCTACTACTGAGCTACATCCTCAGCCCTCTTCTTACATTATTTGATGTATACAAGATAAAGTAGGTAATATATGTATTTCAAGAAATCCTACCATTTCTAGTGTGGCCAAGGAGAGGGGTTTGCTCAGTGAGACATGTAGAAATAGCCTGATGGAAGACACACACACACACACACACACAGTGACTTCCCATGCTATCTTCAGGCCACACCCAGGACCCAGCAGCCCCATTCCAGGTATAAACTGGAAAAATTCTGGCCTCTGTGCTCAGGAGGTTGTTTAAAACTGAACAAAAAACAGAGGGCAATATTTCTTATTCCTCCTCTCTTCTTCTTCTCTTTCTCCTTCCAGGATGTAGCCCTGGCTGACCTGTAGCCCATTAGGCAGACCAGGCTGGCCTTGAACTCACAGACCCTCTAACTCCTGAGTGCTGAGATTAAAGCCTGTGCCACCACACCCAGCTTTCTCCTGGTTCTCTGAGCCACTCCAGGACCTGAGCCCCAGCCAGTTCTGATGGAAAACTGAAGAAGTGGCAGGGTCACCATCAAGGACCTTGGAGACCTCCTCCTAGGAGGAGTCTCACCTGGGGAGTCACTCAAAGCTTGGGTCTGTGGCAACTCGAGGTCTGGAACTTTCCATTCTGCAGAGCTGTATTAGCTTTTCTCCAGAACAAGCCAGCAGGAGAAAGGGCTGAGGTTGGCCACAGAGCTGTAGTGTGGCTATGGGACCAGCGCCTGTCTCCTCTGTTTTGGGACAGTCTCATGGCTGAGGGACAGCAGTGGCCTCAGCTGGGAGACTTTCACCAAGCCCCAGTACAAATCCTGAGATGGGAGTCTCCTCCACCTGTATAGCTTCCTTATCAGCACTCAGGGGCTCTGGGGCCAGGTGAAGAGCAGGCAGGTGGAGGCTGGGTTTATGCCTGCCTAATTTCTCGTGGTGAGAGCTTGGGTGGGTTGTGGTTTATGCCATAGCCAGGGGCACTGGGATCATTTAATCTCTTCCAAGAATAATCTTAGGAGAACTACAATAATGCAAACCATTTAGCTGGTGTCTGGCTCCTGGGAATGCCCCCATACATATTCTACCCATGAAATCTATTGGACACTTGCTAGGAGGTCCACGTGGCCATAAGCAAAGCGAGAAGTTGGAGGCTCTTGGTAGAGACAGCAGCCTAGGGCAGCCAACACACATAGACAGTATCGGACCTCTCTGTAAAATGGGAACGATTGCACCTAGCTCCCCAAGTCCTGCAAGGTTCCACTGAGTTAACTCATATAAAACTCTCAGATTCCTGGATCTCCTAAGCGCTCAACAAAAGAAAGCAATAGATTTCTTATTTACAGTACCTGAAGGAGCCCCTGGCTGGGCAGACACACACTCTGCCCTGGCTCTTTTGTCAGTGGATGGACCCAGAGCTATGATTTCTCTTTGGGGTTACCAATGCCCAGCTGTGTCCTGATGGTCTCAGGTTGTTCTGCAGCTCTGGGGCCTTGCACTGCTGGTGCCTAACTCCAGGCAGAGGGTGAGAGCAAAGGGAGCAGTCTAAAGCTGGTTGCTCTTTGCCTGTTTCCTCTGACTGGACTTTATTCTACCTCTCTCTTTCTAGAGTCTTCTCTCTCTAGGGTGCTCTGGGCATTTCCTCCCTCTGTCTCATTTCCTCTCCCTAAACATAGCTGAGACATATATGTCTCTTATTCCTCACCACGGCCATATGGGGTGAGAACTTAAGTTGCACCTATTCCGTAAATGAAGGCGCCTAAGCCGAGATGGCTGACGACTGGACCAAGCACTTTGATATGTAAACAAGCCCAGAGTTGGGGCCCCATCCCTTCTGAGCCATATGGCCTTGGGTGACCAGGTGCAAGAGGAACAGATGTGTAATCTGAAACTGGAGGACCGTGCTCCGTTCGGGGCCCAGATGGGGCCACTGTGTAGGCCCAAGGAGTTGGATGTTGTCTGTGTGTTCCGATCTGAGCTCCGCCTGGCCCCCACACTGCCCATCACAGGCCTGCCTTCCAAGGTTCTGGAAACCGTCTGTGATTTCTTCACCCCATTTCTGGCCCGAGGTCCTGCACTTGTGGCTTATTGTGTCAGACATCATCTCTGAGCCCACCAGAGGCAGCACAGCACCCTGGGGAAACCAGATCTAGGGCTTCAGCTAGACACCCTGAGGGTGTTCTCCATCACGTAGGCTCTAAGCCTCCAACAGCCCTCGGGGTTTGGACCAATTGCTTGAATGCAGAGTCTATGCCCAAAAGGTGGTATAGCCCAGGAATCCCGAGGGAACTTCCCCCCAGATGGCTCAGAAGCCACACCCTGCATCTCCAGACCATTTGGTCCAGTTACACATCTCGATGGCCCAGAGAGGGATGGGTACCAGCCCAGAGCCATATAGTCCAGCACTGAGTGCAGATCTAGATAGTCCAAAGTTCAGGCCCTACCTCCTCAGTGTCCCTTCCTAGCCCCCCCTCCCCTTTTATACACAGCCAGCACCCCATCCTTCCAGCCCTTGGCCTCCTACTCCCTGGCTGCCTGAGCATGCACGGCTGCCTCCGCCCCCAGCTATGGCTTTTAGAACCGTTATTCGGAAACAGTTTTCCTTAATAGGAGCCCCAGATTCTTGGAGCTGTGATGTGAACACCTGGTACAACAAGGCAGAGTGCTGTCAAGGTAGAGACAGGGCAAACTGCCCAGATGCGGCACCGTGGGAGCTTGGCCTGCCAAGGACATCCACTCAAACCCTTGTTCCTCATTCAGCAGAAGCAGTCAACAAGCCCATAGGACTGGAGCTGGCCAGGGCTGGGCCGATGCTTGGTGGTCACCGGATCCAGTCCTGGTACAAATAGGGAAACTGAGATCCAGAAAGGCAGACGGCCCATAGCAATTAGCAGACAGCACGGATGAGAGCCCCTGGGAGGAAGCCCCGGAGGCCCGCTCTGGGACCTATGTCTGTGGCCGGTCCTTACCTTGGCTGTTGTCTGGCCCAGGGAGGACTCTTCGGAGGTAGAGGCTCAGCTTATTTGGGGTATGGTTGTGGGTGTCACTGCTTCTCAACTAAGTTGACTCGGTTCTGGCACCTCTTGATGCTACAGGGGCATTTTTAAGCAACTGGCATCGGACCCCCCTCTGCTCAGCCCCTTGCCCGTGACTCTCTGGCCACGGAGGCCTCGCTGCCTTTTACCTTATATGAGCTGAAGAAGCGAGCCTGGTGTTGGGGCAAGGCGGGTGCTGAGTCCTCCCTGGGCCCCCCATTGGCCAGGGCGCCAGCCACGTGACTGCCTCGCCTTGACCTGCCCCTGGTGCCGAATGTTTCTTTTACCCCCTAAGGAAGGAGTGGTTGACAATTTTCATATTTCTTCTAAATTTGGAGGTTTCAGACAATGCTGAGGGCTTGGCTCCAGCCGCCAGAGCCCATGTGGAAGTTATTAAACTGGAGAAGGGCAGCAGGGGGAGGAGGAGGCAGGGAGGAGAGGAGGAAGGGAGTGGGGGACGGACTTCTGAGGGTTGCCAGTTGTCAGCCTGGGAACTTAGCAAACTCCTGGGGGAGAGCTGTGTGTGAGAATTTCCTTCCTCTCCCGTTGCCCCGAGTTCCAGGACTGGACAACCGGGCCCTGGGATGTTTTGAGAATCCCCCAAGAGAAAGACAGCAGTTGAGGCTTCTGGGGCTCAGCGGGTGATGGGAACGGTGACGCATGGCAGGCCCCAGGGAAGGCAAATCTCTTCTCCAGAAATCCAGGACTTTGAGCGGCCACTCCTATCCCTGTGCAATTGAGGTTCAGGGCCCACACAGTGAGGCTTCCTGGATAGGGCAGGCTCTTGAAGTCAGGCATGCACGTCGGGGGAACTCTCTCATCCTAAGGAACAACCACAGCCTCTTTCTTCTTCAGTGCCTTACTCTATGGCCTGGTTGGGTCTAGGACTCAAGGTCTCCATGTTGGTTATCATGGTCTGCACCACCACACACAACCCAAGGCCTTAGTTCTTCTCCCTGCTCCTGCTCTATCTCAGCCACCATCCCTGACCACCCCAGGATGCCCCCACCTGCCCCGCTGGCATCTTTCCTAGGGCTCATCACACACTGTCTTGCCCACTTGCCTGCCTGGTTTACCACAGGCTCCTCTAGGAGGGGGTGACTTTCTATCCAAGCTCTGAGTCCCCAGGCTTCCCATAGTGCTGGTCATAACTGCATACAGAGGGGCTGCTGGCCGTGGTCAGCTGGAAGCTCAGCTCTCAGACCTGCAGAGAGCTTCTTCCAGTGGTCAGCCATGCCCTCCGTTGAGGGCTGTCACTCTGTCCCCGCCCTTCATGGCCCAGGCCTGCCCCTCAGTGTCCACACTCAGTAGCCTTATCCTCTGACTATTCACAGTCTGATTCATAGACACCTGGACCCCATCTTTTCCTTTCCTGGGGACCACACTCTATGATCTGCTTCTACTGCTCATGTCCCTGCTAGTAATAGACCCATGGACCCATGCCAACCTGTGTGGATCCAACCAGGGCATCCCTAGGGTATGGGGGTGTCAAGTCAGAGACAGTTTCTTTCTTTCTTTCTTTCTTTCCTTCCTTTCTTTCTTTTTTCTTTTGTTTTTTAGACAGGGTCTGTCTACATAGCCTTGACTGTCCTGGTACTCACTGTAGACCAGGCTGACCTTGAACTCACAGAGATCCACTTGCCACTGCCTCCTGAGTACTGGTATTAAAGGCGTGAGTCACCCACCACGTCTGGCCCACATGGCTCCCAATCAACTGGGAGGAATAAAATAATAAAGCACTCCTCACTGACCGCCTGGTCCTTGAGGGAAGAGTTTTCTGGAGGTGGACAAGCCTATGCTCCTTTCTACCTCTACTACACCCAGCTCTGAGTGTGGGCCAAGTTACCTCTGGCACTCTGAAGTTTTGCCTTCGTGACAGTAGACAGTAAATAGTCCCTCTTTGTGTGACCATGAGGCTTGGCAGGGTGGCAGTGCATCTGGGAAATGGTGTGAGCGGGAGACGGGAGGGGGCTGGGGTCAGCTCTACCCCTAGATGCCCGAGGGGCTAACATCTGTGAAGCTAGCCTTCCCCCTCCTTAGAACGGAGCTGAGGAAGCGCTCAACTCCCAAGGGCCTGGCACGCAGCAGTCACTGCTCATGTCCCGCTTACCTCCTCAGGCTGGGAGACGCTTGCATTCACTGGCATGCAAGTGAGAGGCGGTGAGGGGGGAGAAAGCTCATCGTGTCCCCTTCCCCAGTCTCCGCATGGGAGTTAGCCATCTGACAAGGGTACTGGGAGGGAAACTTCCTCTCTCCAGCCCCCGGGTTCCAGTTGAGTAGAATAAAGCGCTACCTCCAGAGCCCAGAGGGAAGGCAAAACCAGCTCAACAGAATCCCCAGGGAAAAACCACTCTGGAGACCTTGCTAATTCAGGCCTGCGCTGTGCATGTGAGCTGTGGGGACCCGCCATTGCACCCACTCAAGAGCTCTGTAGCATCATGCTAGTCTGACCTACCTGTGATAACAAAATTGGCTAGTCTTGGTGTGCTGGTGCACGTCTATTGTTCCAGCTGCTCAGGCGGTTAAGCCAGAAGGACCGCATTAGTCCAGGAATTGAAGTCCAGCCTAGGCAATGGAGAAGGACTTTGTCCCTGCCTCCCCGCACCCCTGAAAAAAAATCCATTGTCATGACTTGGACTAAAGAGAAAGGGAGGATAGGGTTGCCTCTCCCTCTACAAAGGGGCTAAAGAGGGGTCTAGTTTGTACAGGCGGAGACACAGGAGAGACTGTGTTTTGAAAACAGGGTCTCAGGTAGCTCAGGTTGGTTGCTCTGTGGACAGAGCTGGCCTTCAACTCCCCATGCTTCGTTGACCTCCCAAGTGCTGAGATCCCAGGTGTATGCCATCACACACAGGTTTAAGCAGTGTTGGGAATAGCACTCTGGCACCCGAGCTACACCCCGAGTTCAGGAAAGACCCTGAAACAGTCATTGGAGACACGAAGGAAGATAGGAGCGGATGGGCTTTCTCAGTAAAACAGGAAGTTCTCTGCCATTAGAGAATGCAGCAGAGGCTGGATAACAGCTTGGGAAGTCCCTTCTGGCTCTGAGGGCCTCAGAATGAATATGGATTTCATGTCATCTTCTTTCTTTCTTTTTTAAAAAAATATTTATTATGTATAGCGTTCTGCCTGCATGTATGCCTACAGGCTAGAAGAGGGCACCAGATCTCATTATGGATGGTTGTGAGCTACCATGAAGTTGCTGGGAATTGAACCCAGGACCTCTGAAAGGCAGCCAGTGCACTTAGCCACTGAGCCATCTCTCCAGCCCTTATTTCCTATTTTAACCCCCAGGCTTTCCCTTGTTTTTAGCTGTAGTGAGGAACTTTGATTTCCTACCTATTCTCCCCAAGGGTACAGCTCAGAGGTGAGAAAAATTATGTTTTATGCAGGATCCATAACCCCTAAGTTAACAGCACTTGGGAGGCAGAGGCAGGCAGATCTCTGGGTTCAAGGCCAGCCTGGTAAATTCCAGGACAAACAGGGTTACGCAGAGAAATCTTGTCTCGGAAAAACTGAAAACAAACTAACAAAACCAACAGCAAAACAAAACCCAAAACCAAAAAAATTACTAAATTAAAAGTTAAGCTTCAAGCTGGGTGGTGAAAAAAACCAAATAAGCTTATTGGTGGTGGCGCACACCTTTAATCCCAGCACTTGGGAAGCAGAGGCAGGTGGATCTCAATGAGTTTGAGGACAGTGTGATCTACAAAGTGAATTCCAGGACGGACACAACTGTTACACAGAGAAACCCTATCTCGAAACAAACAGACAAACAAACAAACAAACAAGCCAGACTTATAGACACAGGTCTAAATCACAGCACTTAGGAGGCAGAGGCAGGCAGATCTCAATGAATTTAAGGCCTGCCTGGGCTCTATAACAAGTTCCAGAACAGCAAAGGCTATAGAGTGAGGCTCTGTCTAAATAGAAACAAAACAAACAAACAAAGAAAAAAAAACAAAAACAAAAAGCACTCCCCCCCCCCAAAAAAAAAAAAAAACACTGCATGCCTTCTTCAGTGGTGTCTCTTTGAATCTGGGAGGTGAAACCACTTGGTCACTGATGTTTGAATCTGGGAAGTGAGAACACTTGCCTTCTTCACTGATGCTTGAATCTGGGAGGTGAGGCCATGTGCCCTTTCACTGCTGAAGTTCCTAATGGCTCTTCCTCACTGTCAGCTTGACTAGATTTAGAATCACTATGGAAACATCTCCCTGAGAGTGTCCGTGAAGATCTATGCGGTTGGAGGATCCACTCTGAATGTGGGTGGTACTATCCCACAAACTAGGGGCTGAGACTGAATGACAAAGAGAAAACACCTGAGCACCGGCCCCCACACTTGCTGCTTCCTGACTGCAGACACAATGTGACCAGCCTTGTGCTTCCTGCTCCCATGACTTCCTCTCTCTGATGGGCTGGACCTTCAAATTGTGATTCAAGATAAACCCCTTTTTTCTTAAGTTGTTTAAATTACACACACACACACACACACTGTGTGTGTGTGTTACTATAGTGCACATGTAGGTCAGAGGTCAGCTTCTGGGAGTCCATTTCTTATTCCAGAGGTCAAAATCTGTGTATCGCTGTATGCCTTTATCGGTTGAGCCCTCATACTGTCCTAACAAGTTGTTGTTTATAAGATTTTTCAAGACAGGGTTTCTCTGTGTAGCCCTGGCTGTCACTGGAACTCACTCTATAGTCCAGGCTGTCTGAAAACTCAGAGATCTGCTAGCTCTGCCTCCTGAGTCCTGAGATTAAAGGTGTGTGCTACCACTGCCCGGCCCAACACGTTGTTTTTTTTTTTTTGAGAGAAGTAATTCAAAATTCTTATAATTATTTGCTTTGTGATCAAACGATCCTCTCAAAAATGTACTCCCGTTAGCAGGTCAGCTGGAAGAGTAGAGGATGTATTACTTCTCAAAGACACCACCCTAGAGAGCTTCCCACAACACATTGAGGTTTTATAAAGTGCATGAGGCAGAAGACGCACGGTGCAATGTCACTGGAGTGAAGCGAGGCATCTGGGTGTGAGTGAGGTGGGTAAGTGTGTGAGCAGCCAGGTTGAATTAGTTTTTCCTCTCCCCGAGTCTCCCGCACAGACAAGTCAA